CCTAGGTCTGCTGTCCCCTCCATCTCTCCCTGTCCTCATCCTGGACAGATGGACAGGGCCTCTCTCAGCCTCAATTCTGCCCTCTTGGAAATGGAAAGGACAATGCTCACCCACCTTCCCAGGGCCGTGGTCAAGAGTAAACTAGGGCCAGAGACATAACTCAGTGGTTCTGCACCTGCCTAGCAAGCCCAAGGTCCTGAGTCTGATCCCCGGCGTGGGGGAGTAAACTAAACAAGGCAGCACACTACATGGGACACAGGCTCAATCCAGTTGAGAGGAGGTGGCATGGGCAGCTGGGCCATGGGGCCTCTGACGTGGCGCTCTAGCCCCGCCTCCACCTCTGCCCAGCCACAAGCTCTGGAACTTGTCTGGCTGGCAGCCGGAGTCCACACCTTGCCCCAGGAAGGGCCTGGACCTGTTGGTTCCCCTCGGTCCCCAGGCCATTCCTCTCCTCTCCTGGGTACCCACACTCTGGTAGCTTAGTTCTGACCTGGCTTCTGCCTTGGTTTCTTTGTTGTGCTGTGGCAAACAACCCTTGCCCAGTATATAATTACATGATCTTCTTCTCCCTGGGAATCAGACCTTGGCTGGGCACCAAAATGGAGACAACTTTCAACACTCTGGGGCCTGCTCTCTCCCGATGAACTTGAGGTTCAGAAGTCCCCAGCTCTCTGGTCCCTCTTGTGCCCATCAACTGGTTGCTGTCTGCCCTCTGGTGGCTGAATAGGAGAACTGCAACTTCCTGCTGGCAGGCAAGTGGGTAGGGGGATTAAAAGGGAATTTTTTTCTTTCTCCTACATCCTAGGTGAGCCCCGACCTCTAGAAATCCTCACTCTGACAATCTCCGAGTCAGACCTGGGATGAAATCCATGTTGGGCTGACAGTCTTTGGGCTGCCTGGGGCCACCCCAGCAGTTTTGGTCTGGTGCTAGGAGGGGTCTGGGAGTTTCCAAGGACATAGGAACAGTCAGTGACAGACCACACATAGAACAGTCCCACGGGATCACACTGCCTCGTGCAGTTGTAGCCATGCCAGTTTGTAAGTAACTCGATGATGCTCACATGAGGGCAAAATCACCTAATAAATAGTGCGGGTCTCGGAAGACGTCTCGTCTTTTAAGTGAGCCACGTCTCTATATAAACTATGTATCAGCGTTCCTTGACTTATGATGGAGTTACAGCTGAGTAACCCCACTAGAAGTTGAAAATGTTGAAAGCCAAAAATGCATTTAATATGCCCAAGCTCCTGGGCACCACAGCAGTGACACGGTACCTGGAGGAGCGGCTGTGAGCCTGCCTGATGGTGTGGCCGTCTGGAGGAGCAGCTTGCGGCCACTGCTCAGCACTGCGAGAGAGCACGGCCTCACGTACCGCTAGCCCAGAAAAAGACCAAGGTGCAAAGCTCAGATCCTACCGAATGTACATTTCTGTTACACCCTTGTAAAATCGAAAAACCTCAAGACATAATAAAATGGGGATCAGATAAGGAATTTGTATCAAGACTCTGTAAAGAGATCGTACCGCTCAACCACAGGACAATTTTACCACTAGCAGGGGTCTGAACAGTCGTTGCTTCCAAGAAGACACACAAATGCTTGATAAGCTCATGAGAAGGTGTTCAACGTTAGCAGATGTTGGGGGTATGAAAAATAAAACCACAATGACAGCCCACACCGACAGGACTGACTAGAATAAAAGAGAAAACAGCAAGGTCGGTGAGGACATGAAGAAAACAGAACCCTCATACACTGCCGGCAGAAATGTAAAATAGCGCTTCTTTGGAAAAGTCTGGCAATTCCTTTTTAAGAAGTTAAAAAGCAAGTTATCATTTGACCCAGCAACGCTTCTATCTGTAAAGAGGGTGTATTATTTGCAATCAGTCCGTGATCAGTTAAACAACTATATATCCACTCCTAAAGAAACCTCTACAAGTGAAGAATTAAATCTAAAAGTCAAGAGTGGAGACAAAAATGAAATCATGTAGGAGAAAAAACTTAACCCAAACGAAGGCAAGAAGGGAATGAAAGCCAAGAAAGAGGGAAAACAAAGAGTAAGATGGGTGGTTTCAAAATTTAACCTCCTTTATGTTACGTTAAATACAAATGGCCTAAGCATTTCACCGAGCCTAAGAAAGCGGTGCTCAATGCCCGTCTGCCAAGTGCGGTCTGAGAGCTGTAAATCCTCCCTCCAGAGCCCTGTTCGGGACAGCCAGCGGGCCTATCACCAGCTTTACCAGCAGTGGGCACTGGAGAGCACTCTCTTCACTTAGGTATCCTAAGTGCCCTGTTTGAATCGCTGTATCATCTCAGACTCCCCTTTGGATCCCCACGGTACGGAACTGACACCACGAGTGGCCCCAGGAGATAACTCCAGGGATGGGGTCTGGAGATTTTTCTGGGTACACCCTGGACTTGGAGGCAGAGCTGAACAGCTTGCCATGGGAAATGGTATGCTAGGGATCCACAGCATGCAGTGACATGCACATTAGTCACATTGTCAGCTGCAGCTTTGTGGCGTGACAGGTATGCGCCTCCGGAAGCCAGGTGTCTACAACACTTGACCATCATGACAATGGTGATGACCATAAAGACTGTGGTGAGAGCCAGGCATGGTGGTGCCTGCCTGTAATCCCAGCATTCGGGAGGCTGAAGCAAGAGGATCGCCGTGAGTTCGAGACCAGCCTGGGCTACATAGTGAGTTCCAGGTCAGTCTCCACTACATAGTGAAACCCTGTCTCAAAAAATCAAAAAAAGGGCTGGGCATTTAGATCAGTGGTTCCACTGCCGGCTTTGCAAACGCAAGGACCCAAGTTCGATTGCTGGTACCAAAAAGAGAGAGAGAGGAAAAAAAAAAAATACTGGTGAGGGGCAAATTCCGCGGATGCTTGATTACTTACCAAAAGAAAATGGAAAACTTGTGCTCTTGAATCATCAACATAAGTTAAAACCTGAAAATCAGAAAGCTTCTATGACAATCCTAAAAGATTCTCTTATTTCTTGCAGGCGCTGAGCTGATTTATCACTTAAAATGAAACAAAACCGTAACTGTGCAGGTTGCTGAATCACAGGGTCATGTGGATTCAGGTCCATTGAGTTTTTCATGCAAAACAGCACTGATAAGAAGGAAGGGGATCGTGGCATTCGGTTGGCTTCAAACGAAACCAACTTATGCCTTCAAGTCACTGGGCTTTTTCTATGTTGGGGGAATTTAGCCTGCCCTCCTATGTCTGAGAACAGGCTCCTCTGTCCGACAACACTGTGATGATTTCACCTGGAATCAATGCTCTGAAAGGGGAAGACACAGCTTATACACCTGAAGAATTGTGAGACTTTGCCACTGCACGTTTGTAAGCGAACTTCTTGAGGTCCAATTCACATAACTAACAATTTGCCCATTAAAATAGCTGTGGGTGTGGTCCTGGATATATGCAACTACCCCAAAGGTGAACTCGAGAACATGTGCATCGTCCTGTAAAGAAGGTTCATGCATTTTAATCATCACCCACTGGCATCTCCACCACCCACCCGCTCCATCCCCAGGCATCCATGAATCTACTGGCATTGTAGACCTCCCTGTGCTGGACATTTCCTATGAATGGAACTGTGCAGTGAGTGGTCTTTTGTGACTTGCTTCTTTCACTTAGCACACAGTTCCCAAGGTTTATCCAGGTTGGAGCAAGCATCAGTACTTTTTTCCTCTTTAGAGCCCAGTAATTCTATTGCACGGTTACATCACACTGTGCTTGTACATTTGGCCGCTGATGGGCCTGTCAGTTGTGCTATGGTTTAGATCTAAAATGTCCCCCAGAAGTCTGGGGTTCAGAGGTGCGGCTTTTAGTAGGTGGTTGGATTATGAGGTGTGGTTCTCACCAGGGGATTTGTCCATCGATGAGCTCATGGCTGAATGTGCTCTTAAAACGTGGGGCCTGACTGGAGGCGGGCACTGGGGGTGTGACATGGGCGTATCCTTGTCCCCAGCTCCTTTCTCTGCTTCCTGCCACAGGATGAGCCCTGTGCTTTCACCATGCTCTTTCTGTCTTGGAGCCACCAGCCATGAACTGAAACCCCTCAAGAGTGAGCCAGAATAAACGTCTCCTCTCTCAAGTTGTGGCTGTCAGTAATGGAAAAGCTAAAACAGGTTGGTTCTACTTTTTGACTATTAATAATGCTATATATTCATGTGCCAGTTTTTGTGTATAACTAATCTTCTCTCTTGGGCGTATACCTATGAATGGAATTGGTGGGGCATGTGGTAAATCAATCTGATGAACGATCAGGCTGTTTCCCACACATCAGAGTGTGAAGGTTCCGATTTCTCTTCTTCCTTGCAAACACTTGTTACTATCTGGCTTTTTAATACCAACCCTCTGAGTGGGTGTGAAGTGGTATCTCACTGGGCTTTGCTTTGCATTTCCCCGATGAATAAGGACGTGCACTATCTTCTCATGCGCATCTGGCCATCAGTACATCTCTGGAGGAGTGGTCAAGCATATGTCAACCATTATTGAGGCCCAGTTCCATCCCCAGCACCAGGAAAAAAAGGCCTTTGCATAACACCAGACACATGACAACTTACCAAAATGTAAGCTTTAAATATTTAAGTTACAGACAACTTCTAAAACCAGACACCAGAAAATAGGATTTACTGTCACATTGAAGGTGAACACAAATGTTCCAGAAATCTTTTACATACATCATCCGTAGATTGGATTTATCCAACACGCATTGAAAAAGCAAAGTCCACAGAAAATACTCTCCTCCAGAACTGGGGCGCTTACAGACCACTTCCATTCCCACATAGGAATTCACATTGAGTAGGTGCAGCTCACGGTGGGGTTTGTTTCCAGGTTCAGAGTTGTCAGCAGCAAACCAATGGGTGTCACAGTAATTGGAGGAAAGGCCTCGGTCTTGGGAACTTCTACACGAGCCCTGAGTTGTGTCGCAATAGCCAGGATCTGGGGTTGTGACCTGTGCCACCAACCCAGGCCATATCCCAGCTTCATTTCTAGGCTGTCTTGTTACTTATATTATTACAAGTAGGAAGACAACAGTAAACAGGTATCACAGTCCTTCTGCAGCAATGGGCTGTCCCCCGAGTCAAAAGGCTGGTGGCCCTGGAGGAGGTGTGCATCCCTGAGTGGCCTTCCTCAAGCACACAGGCGGTGGGACGAGCATAGGGCGCTCTTCGGGGCACCTTGGCTGAGAGTCCCAGGTGGTGACCTGGGTGAGTCAACCCACAGGTGCTACCGTCCCAGTACCCTGGCCGCCGGTTAGCTCAACTGGCCACAGTCTGTGATGACAATCTTCTTGGACGTCTTCCCGCTCTTAGAGCCGAAAGATTCTATCTTCTTCACGACCTCCATGCCCTCTTTGACGTGGCCGAATACCACATGCTTGCCATCCAACCTGTGAGCAGCAGGCGCCGGAGAGCAGGTACAAGAGGAATACAACGTCACCCAACATGCTGACCCCTAGGCCGTGTAATTATTTACGAACATAGCAGTTTGAATTGAACCCCACCCCGAGCAGCTGGATCCAGTCTGAAGCTTTTTAAAAAACTCTTGCTGAGCTCCCCAGCTATGCCCCAAAGGGCTCCTGGCTTCCAGGACACATTCTTGCGTCTTGGGACCTTGCCCTAGGCCGCTTGCCCCACATCCTGGTAACCTTGTGTGTGCAAAGCGAGCTACTCTTGCTCTGCCCAGGGAGAAGACAGGTACTGAGCTACCCTGAAAACGCCTTTACGGGTCCCTAAGTACGAAGTGAGCGCCAAAGCAACAGGCGTGCAACACAGCAGCCCCAAGCAGCCCTCGGGTTGAGGGCTCTGAGAATGTCAGAGGCACCTGGAGCAGCTCCAGTGAAGCTGAGAGTGGTGACAGCCATGGACACAACTCTAGGACGCACGAAGGGTTCCACGGAAGAGCAGAGAGGAAGGGGTCAGCGATGGCCTGCTGGACTGGCACCCCATCCTTCTCACCCAGAAGGCAGAGATGCTCGCATCTACCCCATGCCCCAGGGCTCTCAGAATCCTGGAAAGGGGCTTTATGCAGTCTTAGCTCCTGCCAGCTGCTGTCCCTCAATCCAGATGTCCCAAGGCTAGGACACCAGGGAGCTCCGGGCAGAGAAACAACCCTTAGTGAAAAGTTTACCAGGGAAAAGATGGTTCTAGACTCCGGGATGCAGGAAGGGGTTGCCAAGGGCTGGGAGTCACCTGCAGGCTTAGCCTACCTGTTGTGACATCCGACTGCCCACCTGCCACGGCGTGTCCCAAGGTATGTCCCACAGGGGAGGAGAGGCTGGGAAACCCTGGGTCAAACCAAGCAGACCTGCTTCTTCTCAGGCCACTACACTGGGAAGGTCTAAGTACAGGAACCCATTTGTGAGAGAGAGAGAGAGAGAGAGAGAGAGAGAGAGAGAGAGAGAGAGAGAGTGTGTGTGTGTGTGTGTGTGTGTGTGTGTGTGTGTGTGCGCGCGTGCGCGCGCACATTCCAGCCAACAGCAATAACAGGAAGTCCAACTACAGCAGAGTCATAGGAACAATCCAGGGCTGGGGATTTAGCTCAGCAGTGCCACTGCCTGCCTTGCAAGCGCCAGGTCCTGAGTTCGATCTCCGGTACCAAAAAAAAACCCAAACAATGAACAACCCAACTTTGCTCCCAGTCATTTCACTCGCTCACCCAGACACACGACCTAGGAGAAGGTCACTGTCCCAGAGTGGACTGCATGGTGGATGGCCCAGCCGCACATGCCTTCCCTTGAACCTGCACGAACCCTGCTCCAGCCACAAGGGCACCCCTGTGTCCCTGAAGCACCTGGAGAGGGGCACTCACCAGTCTGTCTTTATGGTGCAAATGAAGAATTGGGAGCCGTTGGTGTTGGGGCCTGCATTGGCCATGGACAGGATACCTGCAGAAATGAGCAAGAGTGGGTCACGCCACTCAGGACGTGTGTCCCCCAGGAGGCCCTGCAGAAGCGCAGAGAGCTCAGAGCACCCAAGGACATTCAAGTCTTTAGATCGTGGGCCCAGCAAGGAAGCAGGGTCACCCATGAGCACCCAAGGCTTGCCTGCTTTGCTGTCGCCAGGTCTCAGTGCGGTGGCCTGGCGGGAAAGGGCCTCAGGGAAGCACTCAGTGGCGCAGCTTCCCACGGTCCACTTTGGACCTCACAGGTGACACCACCATGGGGTTCTGTTAAAGGCTCTCCCCCAAGCTCCCCAAGGGACAGCTGTTTCTACACTGAGAGGGGGGTGAGAAAGCACTAGGGAAACCCAGTAAGCCAGAAACAAGAGCAGACCAGATGCTGGAGGAAACGAGGTGCAGCACAGAGGCAGAGCAGTGCGGCCTGGAGCCTTCGGGGCACTCACCTGGCCCCTCGTGCTTCAGCGTGAAGTTCTCATCGGGAAAGCGGCTCCCATAGATGGACTTGCCCCCCGTGCCGTTGTGGTTGGTGAAGTCGCCCCCCTGTGCACAGAATGACTTCTGAGTGGTCGCCACACACAGCTGGTAGGAGCAGCCCCCAGCCCACCCCGGGACCACCGCCTGAAGCCCCTCAGGCCACAGGGCCAACAATCACCCAGGGAAATAAGGATCAATGAGATAGAAAGGTAAATAATCAAAGCTTAAACATTTTCTGCCATAATAACTATCCTGGTTTCTGACCAGTATCTTCTTCTCTGAGCAAGCTTTTAAACACCCCCGAAAGGACCGAAAAGCTATTCTGAGACATGCTTAGTAACCTGGGATTTGCAATCCCCAACAAGAAGGCAACAAGGAGGTGGCCAGGTGCCCATCCCTGAGCCTGACCAGGTCTTCAGGCCGAGTCCCCCTTCCTGTCCCCAAAGCTCCTCGCTCAAATCCAGTCAGACCCAGGACGAGGCCCCCCAGGGCTGGCATCCTTTCTCAGAGCTCGCCTGAGGTCCTGGCAGCCCTGACGGGACTTTGGGGCCCAGCTGTGCCCAGTGGAGCCATGGCCACAGCCACACTGACTTTCCTGAGACAGCATTCTCAGGTGACAGAGAGGACCTGCCCAGACCAGCCGAAGTATCAACAGGTTCTGGTAAAGTATCTCAGACACGTGGCCTCTGGGAATCCCACCTCCTACAGAGAGCTGACTCGGCCCTGACTCAGGTGGCACCGGGAACGTCTACGGCAGAAAGGCCACAGGGCTTGGCCAGGCTTGCCCCACAACCACAGCCCCGAGAGCTCCTCCCTGCCTTGGCCACCTCCTGTGCGGATCCAGGCAGCACAGTGTCAGCAGGCCCAGCCCCCACTCATCACCTTACACCACGACAGCAGCCAAGGGGTCAGGGGAGCGGGAGAGAATTCTGAATTCTGGGCAGAAAGGACTTCAGAGAGGTCCTCTAGGCTCTGTCAGCCCCAAGGATATTAAGCCTTGACCTTGAGGGTCTGCCTCAATAGAGAACAGCCCCCAGCACTGCGGAAGCCCAGACCCCTGGGGAGTTCTTGCTGCCGACACCCATCCCCAACGCTCTGGCTTCGCGGTACTAAGGCGGGCGCGTGAGCAAAGAGCAAGCCACCAACAGAGAACAAAAGCGCTGCTGGGAAGAAAAGCTCCCAACCCAGGCACATGCAGCAGGGCCTGGTCTCCCTGCTCCTCGTCTTTCTCCTTTTATCTCCCATGCCCAGGGCTCCGGGGCCACAGGACTGTGTGACTCCGCTGGCCCTTCAAAGCCTTAAGGTCCGCCCCCCAGTCCATTGCCCAACCCCAGCTCTCCTTGTCACCAGTAACCCCTCTGTGGCTGGGCAGGGTTGTCCCACCCCAGGCTCGCTGCTTAACTTCTAGAGCAGAAAAGGGCCACCCCAGCTGGGACAACCTGTGGCCCCCAGGGTGAGCACTGGCCAGGGGGGCCCCCATGTACAGAAGGGGAGACCGAGGCACGGAGGGCCATGTTACCTGGCACATGAAGGCCGGGATCACCCTGTGGAATGTGGAACCTTTGTAGCCAAAGCCCTTCTCTCCAGTACACAGTGCTCTGAAATTCTCTGAGGGGAGAGAGGGAAGACAGAGGGGTCAACAGGCCTGTATCCCAATACCACCTGGAGGGAGTTGGGGGGACCCAGCCAATCCACTGGATCTGCTCTGCCAGACTAAGTGGGACTGATCAAACACTGACAAGAGCACACTCTTGGCCGAGCCAGCCAGGTCAATGGGGCAGGGAGCCCAGGGGCTGTGTCCCCATCCCACCCACTGGGCAGCAGGAGGGGAAGCTGTCCCTGGGACTCTTGAATGTGCCTTCCCTGGTTCTGAGACTCATGGTACTACAGAAAGGTGGGCAGAGCCACCAATGAGGCCCCGAGAGGGACCGAGGCTGCCCTAGAGCACCCAGCAGCTGGGCCTCACGCGGAACCCCTTGAGCCCCGTGTCCTCCCCAGACCCACCTGACTGCTCCCTTCTATCCAGGCCAGACTCAGAAGGCACGGCCCCGCCTTACCTGCTGTCTTTGGGACAACATCCGCCTTCAGCTGTGGGGAGGGAAGAGGAAGAAAGAACAGTGAGTGCTGAGGCAGCCTCAGGAAGGGGCCTCCAGGCCACCGATGCCCACAGAGGCCCCAAGCATGAGAAAGGACCACACAGCCAGCCCTGTCACTACCAACCCACAGCACAGCCGCGGAGCCCACAATCACTCCTGGCAGCTGCTTCCTGAGCCGGAGCAGAAGGCAGCTCAGATCCTGGACAGGGAAGAGCCAGTCTCACCACTCAGTGGGCAGACGGGAAGCTGAGGCCCAGAGACAGGCAAAGGGGTGGAGGTAGGGGAAGTGAGAGCCCCCCCAGGGCAGCCCCTTCCAGCTCAGCTTCAAGGTTCACTCTTACAAGGAAAGCACACGTGAGCAGGGTGCCTCCCTCTGGAAGAAGGGGAAACTGAGGCTTAACAGGAAACACCCGGACTCCCTGGAAGCAGGTCAGTCAAGGGCAAGTGGCCCCTTTGTTCTAAGTGGGGCCGGCTCCAACGCCACACACGAAGGCTTCTATGGTCCAAAGAAACAGGGGCAAGATGTTCAGTGTGGACCCCAGAAGGGTGGCTCCGCTTGGGGCACCCCGCACACTGGCTCTACTACCAGACACGAGGGGCCACCCCGGTCCACCTGGGGCCTGGTGGCCAGGCAGTGGCCTGCCACACTCACTACCCTAAAGTGGGAGCTGGCGGGAGCCACGCAACGCGTTACGCAAGGGCTGCCAAGTAAGCGCACAGCCACGACACCCCACCCGGCCCCGGGGAACAGCACCCTAGTACACCGACCTCGGAACCCTCCTCCAGCCCGGCCGGCCAGGGCGCTGGCCCTCCCCCTCCGTGATCTGACCTTGAGCCTCCTCCACCACCCCCGGCCTCGACTCCGCCCCGCTGTTCCCAGGGTGGCCCTTCTCAAAGACGGGGAAACTGAGGCCCGGGGCCCGGAAGCGAGAGGCCCAAGGTCACCCGCGCACCAGGCAGCGCTCCGGGCCCGGAGTCCTGGCAGCCCCAGATCGACCA